GAATATTTTTTTCATAATGTACCGCAATTTAAATACCCCCGTCAATTCTAAATGAACTTTGCCTAAAAAACAAAAAAAAAATTTCAAGTTTTCGAATTGTGCTTCTTTTCGAAAATTCCAACTTACTCTAAGATTTCCCCTAATTTTATGCAAAATAATATGAGGTTATATGAATATCATCATTTATAGCTATCATTTCTATTATTTAAACTTAGAGATAGATTTAAACAAATAAAGTGAAATGTTACCATTTTACGAGTACGCCTTGTACTTTTTGTGTTTAAAACAGGATTCCAATGGAATTTCAATTATTTATTTTTTATATTGTAGAAATTCTGTTCTCATTAGGGTTATATGTTAAAGCGTTGAGTTTCGATGGAGTTATGCCTGGTACCCTGTATATCCTGCTCAAAACATCTAGTTCCGTATTTTGTGGGTTGTTAATCAGGTCACAGCCAACTGTCCAGTCAGAGACAAGGTTTAAAGCAACGAGGTTCTACTTCAAACCATTTCAAACATCAAGGTGATTCCCAGATACAGTTCTTAATTTCATTAAGTTCATTTAACTTATAAGTATAGAAGATATTTTTTTAATCTTAATTTATTCTCTTAAATACTAATTGGAAAGAGATTTATTTTTAATAATTATACCTATATACCTTAATTTTATGTACATATACATATTATACATATAGAGATATTTTGTTTATTATTTTTTTTTTGTGTCTTAAGTCGATTAAAGACCTTTTCTTTATTAAAATTACGTTTGACAATTTGTGTTATGCATGCGTAAACATAAGGACGTATTATTATTTATGGTAAGTATATATAGCTAGTAGTTTTCATTAAGTACTTAACGTTTTTGTATATTTAACATTATATATGCCCCTGATTATATGTGTGTAAGTTTAAGACTGTGCTATGTACGAGCAAGAAAAAATTTTTATTTTGTTACAAATATGAGTTTTGTGTATGTATGTGTGTATGTGAATTGCTGTCTTATTGTATGCTGTCTTATCTATACAACTATAGGTATATAAATTGTGGAATCTCATACTCTATGTGTGTACGCAATATTTTAGATCACAAAATAGAAGTATCAATTCACTTATTAATATTTATGAAATTCCTTTAACGTGATTTGAATATTATTGAACTTTTTTTTATTTTGTGTTTTTATATTTTAAATAATATTTTCCTTTTCTATACATCCTTATCAAAATAAATTTAGATATGCATATTTTTATATTTAAAGTTTTTATCTCATATATGTATGTGTCTGCGTTAGATTTAAATGTATGTAAATGTAGGATATTATTATATAATGATATTATTGATAAAGACATAACGTTCTTCTGTATTTCTTGTTCAGAGTAAAATTTTTATTATTCTTATGGAAAAAGATTGACGATGTTGTTTGAAACTTGAAAAGAAGAAGAAGAGAAAAAGTTTATAACTGAATACGGATGAAAAATTGTAACACATTGTATAGGTAAAGAAGCACAATTAAATGCTTACTGAAATTTCACTTGTATAATGATTTCACGTAAATTTTTTTTTTAATTTAATTTTTTTTTTGTTACTTTTTTTTTTGCATCTCATTTAATTTCCATTCAGGACTAAATTTAAAAGAAAATGAACCGTTTAGTGTGTAATAAACTTTGTGGCAGTAATTTATAATTGATTTTCTTACCACACTAATGAATTCAACACACCAATTGCATTAATATCTCGTAGATATGTGTATGTTGCTCCCCGTCCAGATTTTTAAAAATTTTCTATTTTATTTTAAATCTAAATAAAGTTGGGTCAAGCCAGTGGTTTGTATTGTAGCACTTTTCCCTTCAACAAGTGAAATACTGCTCTGAAAAACATTCTATGTATACCTACCACACTGAGGTAGGTTGCGTGAGTTAAGAAAAATTTTTTAATGGTAATTCCATGGATTTTATATAACGGTAAATTATAACTGCCATTTTGTTTTTTTACGGTAGGCTATTCACCTACCTAGCTAACTCTCTATGACTATAGAAACTAGGTCATGATAGATATCATGCACTAGCCCTATGCTCCTTAAAGGAGTGAAGAAGGAAAAAAAAAAAAAATTTTGTTTTTTTAAAGTTCAAGTATAGTATGCCGTGATAGAAGAAGCAACCCTTAATTTTTAAAATTCTACTTAAGTCTTAAAAGTAGTTCTACTCAAATTCTACTTAAATTTTAAAAAGTCTTAAAATTTTTTTTTTAGATATTTGACTTTTAAAAAACATTTTATTGATTAATTTTAAGAAATTTTGTAAATTGCAAAAAATTACAATTAGATTGTATCGTTGCTAAAAATAATTTTTAAATTTTACATATAAGGTTCTGAATTATTTTTTTATAATATAATGGTTATGTTCAAGAACCTTAATTTCTATATTATTTGCTTGATAAATTGCAATTTATAAATATTTTAACACAACATAGAATATCAAATGTCCGACATATTGTATGTTCAAGTACTGCAAGTAAAGTTTTTTAAATTTCGAATATACATAGCTGTACTCTATACGAATTGAATTTAGCTATATGTATACAAGTACAGTTATGATTTATAAAAATAAAAAAGTTGCCTGACCAACTCTAATAAATTAAATGCTAAAAAAAGTAGTTTTTTTACGCAAAAAAAGAAATGTTTTAAGGTTCTTTTTATTATTTTTATTATTAGGCCCATTTTATATATATACATATGTATATTTCACACACATACATATTATGTTAAATGTATCAAGCTCATTTCTTTAAATACAAAATTAACCTGAATTGAATTTGAATCCTTTGCCCTTACACTGATTTATATGTATACACATAACTACGTATAATATATATTATATATATACATATATTTTACACTTCCCATTTGTTTATAGCAGCATACACGGATACACGTGTGTTGAGACATTTAGTTGATCGTACGTGCAAACAATTTTTGTTTTGCTTTTGATTTCTATATACAACAAACTTCAAAATCCTATCAATTATATATTGCATAACAATTTAATTATAAAAGGATTTAGAAATTCCTGAATTGAAAATTAACTAATTTTTTCCATATATACATTTCATATATTTACATATTTGGTATTTAAGCTGTTATACAATTACGTTTTGCACATTTTATTTTAACCCAAAACGAGTGAATTACTCTACATACAAACTTTAATTATATAATAAAAACATTTCAAGTATGGTAAAAATTTCCTTTTTCAAATTATTAGAGGGAAAATAGTATATAGCTCTATAAATAAGTTTTAATTGGATTCTAAAAGCCTATGGCGATTGGCCAAAAATTTTGTGTAACGCGAAATGTACGGAATCATTAAGTTGGTGTCTTTAATAGAGTGTAATTATTACGAGAGTTAAAAGAATCCTGACGCAGAATAATTTTAAATTTTTATTTTGTGAATAATTGATAAGAGTCAAGATAACTATTCTCCTTCTACTGAGAATTTTCTTTTAATTAGAATGTTATTTAAATGCTTCTTATTGTTATTTAAATGTAAGGTACCTACTAATGTAACTATAGCATAAGTTACGTTAGGACTAACAATATTAAATTTGTATGTATAATAATATTTAAGGACACAGTGAAACTTGAAAAAGTTTGTTATTCAAAACTGAGCGATGTTTTTATTCATTTTCCTTGTGGTAAGTCTTGAAATTAAATTTGGAAATATAATTTTTAAAGTCCAAAAATAATAATGTTCCTAACACGTATTGATATTTTAAATAAAAAAAACTTAACTGAGTTTTACTGTATTTAATATTGAAATTTCTAATGGCATGTTTATCTATATTTTAGAAGAAAACAGGAAAACCTTGACCTAAAATTAATTTTACAAAATTTGCATAAATATTCCGTGAACAGGACGAATAACTTTTTTTCTTTCGTAATTCTGTTTTTTTTGTTTTTTTTTTATTGCTTATGTACATTTTAATAATGGATATTCGGTTGTAAATTAGAAAATAAAAAGAAAAAAAAATAATATGTACGTGTGTCGAAAATATAATTTCTATTTCGTAATTAAATTTCAAAATTACTTTTTTCATACCTTAATAAAAAGTGTGTATTCCGGTTGACGATTATATGTACTACTTTGGTTTTCTATCAAATAATCCTTGTTCTTATATATTGCTCATATACACACACAATTATACTAAAGATTGATTTTTGATTCAAAATTTCAACTACATATGAAAGATTATATCATTTTGAATAAAATTTTTTAACAAACTTTTTTTTCATAACTTTAAATATCAAAAACATTAATTCTAATATAATTAATGACTTTTAAATCTAGTAAATCTAAAAAAGAAGAATCAGTTAAGATTGGTTGAATATATAGAATATTATTTCTAACTTTCAAAGTCTTTGAAATACACAATACACAAATTACTCAATATTCAAAATAATTTTAAATTTTATTTTATAAGTTTAAAAATAAAAGGTCCTCATTATATACAAATTTTATTTGAAATTTTCGGTGTATTTTTCAACTTATTTCAATAATGCAACAAGAAAATTGAGTAAAATCATTGTGCATATAGTTTATAGTGATATATAGAAGATAATTTTTTCAATTACATAACAAGCTACTTTTTTGAGGGACGCTAGTAAGTATTTTGATTTAAGTTTTTTAATTTAAAACAGCGCCACTCATAAAAAGTAGTTCTATGGCATAATTATAACAATTGTCTTCTGTATATCACTATAAATTACACACACATATAGTAAAATCTAAAAAGGTTTTTGTTATTTCTTTTTTTTTTTTATAATAATTATTTTTTAATTTAATTTATATAAATAACATTTTGTATAATTTCATTATATATTAAAATATTTAATAACAATTCATTTATATTTTCTTAAATAAATAAATATGTGTGTGCGCGGATGTGTGTTTTATTTTATATAATAAAAATTTTTGATATCGCAGATTTTTAAAAAAATTTTTTTTAAATTCCATTATGTATTTTGTCCATCATCATTTAATTTCATTTCCATTGAACTATTATTGTTTTTATCTGAACGATATGCATCATATAATTCATTATTGATTATAATTGGATCCATTATTTCACCATAATAATTGTCATCATCGGTAGCAATGTCATCATTATCGAAATTATTTTCATCAAATCTATGATTTTTATAATTATTGTTATTGTTAATTGATTGGTCAAAAATTCGTCTATGTAAATTTGATTCAGCTGATGATTGTATTGATGATGATAATATTGATTTTTCATCTTCATCTTCTAATGTATCATAATATTTCGTTAAAGAACTTTTAGCGGCATTTCGAACCATATTAGCGATATCAAGTACCAATGGTAAAATAAGTTTTTGATTATTTCCAAAAATTGAACGAACCTAAAAATACAAAACAAAAAAAAATTTATTAACTTATTGATTAGTTTATTGAATTGGGAATTTAAGCGGTTTGTTTAGTGATTTAAGGTTATAATCAATATAGCTGGATAGTCAATATTTTTTTTTAAACTTATAATTTATAAATAATTCCAAAAAAAAATAGTTCTATACAGTATGGTATAGATAGTAAATTGTGCTTTCTTAAATAATTAATATGTTTCGATATAATCCGTTCTAATTTTCAAATCCATTTGATACTAGTAATTAAATTAATTGATCATTTTATTTATCAAATTTTTTAAGAAATTCAAACATGTAGGAAAGGCGGCCAAGGACTCGGCATCGCGGCAGACCGTTCGCGAGCAAAAAAAAAATTATGCACTGACGACACGAAAATAGATTTGAATTTATGTTATTTGAATTGAGTTTATTTTATTAAGATTGATAAATAAAATAAACTCAATTCAATCAGAGTTGGCCTTTGAAAACCCGAAAAAAAATGAGACTGCTGACGGTACTAAAGTAATGAACTCTTGCTTTAGTACCGTCAACACGAGTATCAAAATTTAGATTCTCAATCATGATACTGAATGAAGGCCATTTACTTTAAATTAAAATTATGCTACCTTGGGTAAATCTAAAACAAAAGTTTTGTTATAATCATAAACTAACACAATTGCATATTTTCAATACTTACTTGACTTAATTTTAATTCTGTTCCTGGTTTCGCTGAAATTTGTGCTGATATTAATGATGAAAGTGCAATTTTTTGTTGTGATGATAAAACTCTTAATATTGGAATCACTTCAACAAATTTTTGACTTAAAGTTTTATGTGTTAATGATTTTGTTATTGCATTTTTAATCATTTTCCTTTTAATTGGTAGTAAATAATCATTTGTTATTTCACTTTCAATATTTTCATCTTCTTCTATATTATTAATATTATTCGATTTTATTATTGATGATTGTAATTGTGATTGTTGTGTAGTTGTTTGTGTTAAATTAAAATTTTCTATTGAATCATTTGAAATATTTTCATTTTCAATAAAATCAAAGTCATCTAATGGATCTTCTGTATTTGGTAAATTAGATGCTGCTGCTACTATTGCTGATGCTCCTGATAATAAATATGATGATGATGATGTTGATGCCACATTTAAATGAATATTTAATGAAAATAAATAAATAATGCAAAATAATTTAGTAAATGATCTCATGATGTTGTTTGTTGTTGATGATGATGGTGATGATGATGATAATGATGTTTTCGATGAAAATATCAATAATAATGGTATTTTAATGTATTAAAATGTTATAATATTAAAAGTATATCACAATTTAATCATAAATTCATTATAAATTTTGTCTATTAAAATTGCTTTGATATTAGAATAATTTGTTTAATTTTTTTTTTTAAATAAAATCGAGAAATTTAAAAATTGAAATATTTGAAAATTGGAGCACATTTATAATTAACATAATTTTTTTTATTATTTTTTTTTTGTTTTCTATTTTCAAATCCAAAAGTTTCTTTTCTAAATAAAATCGGTCCGGTTTTTCTGTTTGCTTTTTCTTCTTTTTTTTATGTTTGTAGAAAAGAAAATTTTCACCAAAGAAATGCAAAAATTTTCTCTCTTTTAATACTGTTGCATTGTATTTAATTTAAATTTTAATTAATTTAAATATTTGAAAAAAAAAAACCAATATATTTTTAATTAAATAAAAATTTCGCGATTATTTTTTATAACTAAATTTTAACAAAAAATGCACAATAATTTCTCTTTGATTCACAAAAAATCAAAAAATAAATTGATGTCACGATCAAAACAATGCCAACCAAAGTAAATGAACTCAATAGCGACATTCAAAACCAACAAAAAAAAAAATTGTGTGGAAAGAAGAAACTGGTTTCTAAAAAGCAAATTTTAGTCAAAATAAACGTCACTTCATTGAGAATTCAGACTTGAGAGGTATACACATAAACAAGGTTATTTTATGATTTCATGAAATTTTTAAGAGAAATTATTATGTGATAGCGTAGCATACTCTTCTTTTACTTTTGTTTCTCTGTATTTTTAAATGAAGAGAATTCAAAATATGAATTGAAAAAGAGTACCATGTCAAATATTATTTCGATTTTTTTCTAGAAAAGACATAAATTAAACAAGGTAAGCAAAGCAAAGCAAACGGAGAAAGGTAGTTAATGACGTGCAAAAAAGTTAAAATAAATAGTATTGCCACAACATTGTTTAAAATCACAAATAAATCAATTATGCTATATATGTTTTCAAAAAATTGATTATTATCACTACAATATTATTCAAAAATCATTATAATATTGTTAAATATTGAATGTTAATATTGTATTTTAATATTTTAATTATTGTCATGCCTCGATTAAATAAGTTTGACAATTATAAGTAATAAAAGTTCATGATTATAAAATTTAAAGCTTATTGGTAATACCTTTGATTAAATTTTAATTAGTAAAAGTATTTTTTATTGAAATCACGTAAATTGTTTTGACTTACACTTGTAGTTTTATAAAAAGAAAGCAATAAAAGAGAAATGGTTGGTAATAAAAGAAGAGATTTTAATTTTTTGAGTACAAATGTATTAACTTTCTTTAACGTATTGTTATTTGTTACTTGTTTATTCACTCGTTTAGGGTAAATTTATTTTAATTATATTTGACGGCATTAAACGTATTTGTATTGAAAACTTTAGTAAATAAATAGAACTTTTTAAAGTTAAGTAATTATTAAAGCCATTTCACAAGCTTTTATAAGGTTTAAGAACATTTGATGTTATGCTTGTAAATTGCAATGAGGTTAAAATTATCATAACAATAATATAAACACAAAATTCCGCATTCTTTTAATGAAAGTTGTGGCAAAAAATATATTTGTAATAATTTCTATTTGTAATGATTTCTTATATTCTCCAATTTGGTAAACGGTATTCTTACACGAATTTTATTCTCTATATCTTATTTGGGTTGTAATTGAATACTGGATGAGTAGACCTTTAGTGAGAGTAAAACATTTGTGATAACGATTTCTTAACTTAAGAATTTCTTTTTGAAATCCGATGACAATTTGGTTGCAATTTAATAAATAATTGAACGTTATTTATTTTATGATTTTCAGTTTTCAGTTTTAAATAATTTACTTAAAACAACCAAAAAAATAACCCCTTCGTAAAATAATGTTATTTTTTAATCCAAAAAGTATGCAATGAAAAAGTAAATTTTATTCACATTTTTTGCACAAGGTATGCAATAAAAATTTTTTTTGTTATGAAAAAATATTCGCGTATCCAAACTGTGTTACGTGGTGATAAAATAAATTTATTGATATCCTTGTAAAACTTTGTAAATTTTACACTTTTCCAATTTTAGAATAAATGAAAGGTATAAAATGTACATGTGTTCGTAAATGCCTTATAAAGTATGTAAATATGCAAGTGAGTTTTAATGCAGTTCAATTTTTTATTGCATATTTTTAATATTAATATTTTCTTTTATCTAGCTATTTTACAAACATAATTTTTTTGATTATGTAGATCATATAGAAAAAAAGAAAAAAATTTAAATTTTAAAATACCAATATAAATATTGTATTCTATATCAAAAAACCAAAGAAAATGGGTTTCCACAATCCTATAAATTGAGAGTAGTCGTCATACCAAAAGAAAAACGTATATATACATATATATTGGCAAAAATAGAAATGTTAACTTTCAAATCGGTAACCCCAAAAAATGTTAAATATTTTTTCTCAAATTATATGGATTAGATAGCTTGTATTTACATAGAGAAAAATTATGGTTAAAGAAATTCTCAATTTGAGATAAAATTTGAAAAATTTTCTAAAACCTACAAAAAAGACCAAAAAAACCGAGTAGAAATTATAAAGGTTCAATTTTATGTAACATAACAATCACTTTGGTATGTGTGGTTATGCTCTTTAACCCAAGCAATTTTGTGACTAATTTTTTCACACCAAAATTAATTTAAACGCACATACATACTTGCAATATTATAAAATTAGTATGTATGTTATATTCTCATATATTAAGTACTCGTATGTAATAAATTTTAGAGCATCCATATCATTTCCCCTCATTGTTAATGTAAATTCTTTACACATTGCCACAAGTACGTACATATGTATATGGTATACATTGAATATATGTATATGTTCGTTGTATTTGTATACAAAATGTGTATACAAAATAATTATTTCAAAATTTTTGTCAGATATGACAATAACTTTTTAGTTTTGTTTTTGTTTTGGAAAGCGTGTGTATAATAAAAAATTCTAAGCCTATATAGTCAAAATTTTAAGATATGTGTTCGGTCGCCAACATGTTACATTATTTTTAACAAGATGTTTGATTTGTCTCTTGCCTTTCCATGGCGTTTTTTAATTGGAACAATAAACATTATAGTTGAAATAATTTTTAAGGAATAGAATTTCAAAAAACTGAAATGTGTACTTAAAAAGAAGCTCATTGTATTTTTATAACATATTTTAAATATATTTTTTTTAGAGAAAGAATAATTTGGTTTTCCAGAAAAATTAAATTTTTTGGTTAAAATTTTTACAATTGTTTCAGCTAAACTTTTTTATTTAGTCAATTGTAGTTCATATTTTCTGGAGCTTATAGATATAATTGGAAAACTACATAAAATGGCCGTATTCACTTGTAATTCGATTTTTAATTTCAATTTTAATTAAAAATTGAAAACATATTTTTTATATAATGAAAACCAGTTGAAATTTTCTTAGAAACACTCTGTAAAATAAAGTGTATGTATAATGTTTTGTTATATAAATTATTTATGTGTATACACATACATATATACATACTTTATATTTACAAATATTATCAACTTTTTTTCTTATTTAATATTAAACATGAAAATTTATTAAAGCATGAAAAACAAAAGATAAAAACTATAAAGAGCACTTTTCATTTTTTTTTTTGTACCGTTTTTGCCTCTTTTTGCCACTTTTGCCATTTTTTTTGTGTTTTTTTCTTGATCTCATAATGTAAAAATAAAAGGAAACAATATAATAAAGTAATATAAAACTTAAAGCAAAAGGATAACAAAAATAAAAGGAAAAGAAAACAAAATATAAAAAATAAAATGAAAATTAAGAAATATTTATTCATTGATACAAAAACATATACAAACATATATCACAATACCATTTCATAATGGTATGACACTGTACACATATACGTATTTATTTTTTATAAATTTTGTGTATACTATAGCCACATTTATACATACATACATAGATTGAATATTTATTATTGTTTAACATTGATAAAGAAAAATTTTTTTGCTAGATTCAATACGAAATGGTTATATACATAATATATATGTACATACATATACACGCGCATAATTGTATATCTGCACGGGTATACACAATGATTGGTAATGATGGTGGAAAACAAGAAAACAAAAAAAAAATGTGATATTGATAGAAGCAATGATTATGATGCTGATATTATTAAGGGTGGCAATGATTATATGGTCGCAATGATGATGGTAACGGAAAAAAAAATAGTATACATAATAATGCGTACATTATATAGTAAAGCTTTTTTCATTTATATAATTTTCATACACAAAAATCAAAAAAAAAATACAAGAAAATTAATGACGTAACAATGCGAATGATTATATGGCAATGCTTTTAATGTACATATTTACTTTGATTTTTTTTTACTCCCTTTTCCCTTCTTTTTTTTTTAATATAAATTTATGATTATAGTGAAATTCTCAATTTTGTACAACCGTACAGATAAATATACATAATCTAATAATACATAAATGAATTCTTGTTTT